GGATGCGCTCAGATATCCTGTGGGCGACCTGTCTTCGCGAGCCCCCGCGCTCACGGGCCGTGCCGGAGGCCGCGCGGGTGCTGTTTATCCGCTCCATCGCCCGCCAGGGCGGTCCAGCTGGGAGGCGGCCCCGCCAGATGGAGCAGCGGGGGCCGGGGAACCGGCTGGGGCTCTGCCGTGGCATTTTCAAATGTAAACAGGCCCCTGCACAGGAAACCTCCACCGCTGATGAAGGAATGGGGCTCAGGGGGCCGGAGGCTCCTCAAACATGTCGGTGGAGCTAAAGCAGAGGTGCTCCTCTGTGGTCTCTCCTCTGCCCACTGAGATGAAGAAGGCAGTCTGGGGTTCAGTCCAACAATAACCCAGCAGTAACAGGGCTCCTCACTAGCTAGGAGCCCTGCAGAGCTCTTAAGGCACAGACTGAAGAAAAAAATCCACCTTAGACCTAACCTGATTTCACTTCGATAATTATCTCTGCTGGCTTTGATTAGCAGAGCTTTTACTCCTGGGCAAATCTTGCCCCAGATGTCCAGGGATGGCCCAAAGATCCTAAGCAGAAGAGCCAGAAGGGCCAGCAGCCCACTGTTTTGGGGACCCCCTTCAGAGCCAAAATGAGAACAAAAGTTAAAGAGCGAGCTTATCAGAAATGGACAACTCTGCAGTGGACACAGACTGAGATCGAGGGCCTGGGAAACACAGAGGAGCTTAGGCTTTGGCCCTGAATTGCTGTGACCATGGGGAAGTCACTGCCCCAGTGTAAGACTCCATCTCCCCTCTCCTGTGTCTTGAGACCGTAAGTGATGTGGGGCGGCGATTGTCTCGCACTGCACAGCAGGATCTTGGCCAGACACTGTGACAGCTGAAAGCAACAACAAATATTTCCTTTCAGCCTTGCTGCAATCCCAGGGGAGACATGCCAGCTTCAGCGTGCTCCTCATGGCACTGACAGCCCCTTCAGTGAGGAGGAGTGAGATGGAGAGAGGAAGTGGCTACAAGTAGTTTCCAGGAAAAAAGGACTAAGAAGAGTAGGGAAGCGGGGGCAAACAGAGATTCAGTCCTGCCCTTGTGATTTCGAGTCACTCGGGGTATTTATAGCCTGGAAATCTACTGTGGCCACTTAATCATTTGCACTTATTCTCTGCAGTGCGCAGGGTGTACCGCGATAACCCATCATTGTTGTGATTGTGTGCCGATCTTCGGCACAATGGGAGGAAACGCAAAGGCTGGGACGGAGCCGGTGACTGTGCCCAGCGGGACAGGCAGCAAATGCCCCCTCCCATCCAGTGGGACAGGGCTGGGTCACCTCTGCCAGCCGGGCTCGAGGGAAGGGGCTCTTAGAACAGAGGGGTCTTGGTGACTGTGTGGAAGAAATCCAGTGTCTCCAATTCCCTGGTATGTGTCTTCCTCTGCCAGACATCTTCACTCTATACTTCCTTGCAGCTGCTTGTAGCTGCTGGAAGGCACACAGCAGCAGCAAACCCCACAGCTTTCTTTAATATTTTGGGGAGGGCCCTGTCCTCACAGCTGGTAGGCATCTGAACACAGGCAGCTCTGAACACAGGAACCTGGAGGGAGCCATGCTCACCTGGCCCACCAGCAGCACCTCGACTGAAACAGAGGTTCACACCGTCCTCCTTACGCATCCAGGTAGACTGATCCACCTACCCTGGCCTGAAGAAATGACTCACCTTGTCAATGAACTTTGCATGGGTCTAGTCACTAGTGCAATTCTGCTGAGTCTGCAAACCCCATGCTCAGCCAGAAGGAACTTGAGCAGGGAGCAAAAAAAAAACCAGAAATAAAAGCACGGGCAGCTCCCAGTTTGGTATTTCCATCCACGTAACCCTGATAGGTGCTGGCCCTACAGGAGCTTTTCTGGGCCTGATTTTCTGCTGGCTTTCACCTGGCTACTGCTCTCCCAGTGTGACAGCAGAAGCAGACCCCCCATGTTTTTTTCCAGGAAGGGAAAAAGTCAGCGTATTAATATGAAGACAGGATTACTACCAAGTAGCTCTCACAAACTTGGGAATGGTGCCCAGGAGGCCAAGATCTTGGAAAGACCTTAAGAACTTCCTTGGGGTACTTAATGTTATTTACTTTCCAGCAGGAGAGCTGGAAAAAGTGCCAAACAAAGAGCTCCAACAACCCGACACCAGTCTGGGAGCTGCTCAGCTACTGCAACTCCCTAAGCGATGGGAAGCACAGACGGTGGATTGTATACTTCCTCAGGAGGACCTAAGGAGCAGAAAGGCATCTCTGTTTGCAGGAAAGGCAAGGAACTGCACAGCAGGCTGCTCTGGAGCTCTGTAAGCACTGCACGTTTTAACCCCTCGCTGGACATTTTCCAGGCAGGAGAGGGTGGCTTTTAAGAGACATGAAGGATACAGTGATGCAAAGCTGGTCTACTACACCAGTGTAGGTTCAGTTTTAAAGCATGTGTGTTCTTAGGTGGACTCTTCCTTGTCAAGCAGGAGAAGGTTATTCTCTGGCGTTACACATCTCAAAACAATGGATTTCGATAACTTGACAGTTAACAGAGGGCATTTAATTGACTGGAACTGTTAACTGTAGTGATACCAGCAACTTTGCCCTCCTGAAGAGCTTCTTACCTGAGCAGCTTCAAGCTCCTCGCAAACTATTAATCCTCGCTTTGCTCCTGGAGTGACATTTAGCACTGTTATACACACAGCTTGCCCCACTGAGACTGACAGAAGAGTTTCAGAGAAATACAGACAAGTTCCTGACTCCTCTTCCCTGGTCCTTCTCCTCTGATGCTCTAGCTCTCCTCCGTATCAACTTCTCTTGGATTTCTTTCACAGATTATGTCTTCCTCATAAAGGAAGGGGCTCTAAGCCACAAAAAGAAACCTCTAGGTCCCCACAATAGTATGGTGGAGAGTGCTAGGCAATAGCTCTTCAAAGCCTGGGACACCAGGCAAACTCCAGCAACAGAGAGGCAAAGCAGATGTGCACTCTGTGAAAAAGCCACCCTGCCTCAACACTGCTGAAGGACAACACCAATTCCCAGCCTCGGGTTCCTTAGTGACTGCTTCCTCACTGCTGGTTGAGGGCTCCTTCACAAACGCATCTGCCTAGGGATGAGTGGGTGCCAAAGGGTGATTATGATAGAAACTGTGAAGAGAGACCAGGTCTCAGCTGGAAAGCGAGAGGTTGGAGATGACATCCTGGGGCCAAAGAGGAAACAAGCAGCGGTAATGAGAGAGGGGGAGGTTGCTGCCTGAGCTGTTTGTGGGGCAATGTGCTGAGAGACGGACTGACACCTGGACAGACAGAAAGGCTAAAGGGAAGTGACTTTCATTTCTGCAGTGCAGCTTCTGGCTGCTCCCCATTATACCACGGCCATGGCCCTTCCCACCATATTCTCTCCAGTTACAGGATAAAGCACCTACCTGATGACAGAAGACTCCCGCTGCTGCCGCTGATAATTTTGCCTTTACTCCCCATGTTGGCCAGCTTTGAGGTCTTGAGCGTTCCAGTTTCGGTCAGGTCAATCGCAATCTCACTCAGGCTTCTTGCAGCATGAATCTTGGACTGGACATGAACACAGGAGTTAGTATCTAGTGCTTCTTTAAAGTTCACAGAAGGAAAAAGTCCTTTTGCTGTGGCAGGAAGCAGACCTCCACAGCAAACTTGGATTATTTTACAAGAATAGAAGCAATCTGGCACGGTATTCATTGCTGCACTTTTTATATTCTTAAGTGGGTACAATTCTGGCATTGCTTCCTGTTGTTTGTTATTTTCTCTGCTTTGCCATGCACATTTTTGCCTCTTAAACAAACTATGCATGGAGTCACTGTGTTACCACATACAATAAGAAACCTTCAGAAATGCAAGGCTAAAGACCACCTCTAGCATCTAAAGGAAGCGTAGAGGGGCCTTTCCAAATCTGCAATGAGCTTTGGACCAAGACACAGTGAGGACATGGCTTAAATGGGCTGTCATCACAAGCTGGAAGAAAATACTGGCAGGAAAACACGTTCAGGTTATGGTCCAGACCAACAAGCTGCATGCAATGCCCCTGCTGTGAGGGACCTCTTCAAAGCATTAACATTACTCCAGTAAGAAACAACAGCCGGCCCCAGCTCAGTAACTGACCACCACCAAATGTTAACAATCTAAGCACCTCCAGGGGAAAGTAAACGTGCATACTGCATAAGCCTATAGAACAGAACAGAACAGAACAGAATAGAATAGAATATTGTATTATATTTCCGTTGGAAGGGACCTCCAACGATCATCTAGTCCTCTTCCTATCTTAGGAGGGAATGAATTGACTTCCTAAGATGTCATCCTTTCTCCATTGGTTATGGAAGGACTCGAGACAACAAAATGCCCAGAAAGTTCAGGTGAGACAACTCTAGAACTCTCTCTTCGTTGAGCAGTGAGCTCCGTTGTGGTTATGCCCACAGAGCCAACAAAGGCAGAAAACGTTCAGGGCAAGAGGGTTAGCGGCACTAAGCAATGAAATGAGCATGGTCGCTGCTTGCAGGGTTGGGCTCACTCAGTCCTAGTGGCTGCCCTGCCTCTGCAATACAAACCCCACTGTTAGTAGCTCACCATCTATCTCCAGTCCATTCTCCTGGCAGCCTCTAGCAGGTGCTTAACATGAACAAGAGGATCAAGAACATTGATCAAAGTTGCTGGGGATGGCCCTTCAGTTATATCCCTAGCACTACTGGGAAGAAGAACCCTAAATACGAGGGTGTCTTGGGTAGCCATAAGAATTTTTCAGTCCTTTTTGTGACCCGTACAGCCTTACGATCACCTTAAAATAGCAACTGCCACAGCAGAACAACCCCAAAGCCTCTCTAGTCCTCTATCTCGTTTCTGACTGGGGTCATCTCCAAGCACTTCAGAAAAAAATATACAGAAACTTTTCATTAAGCCGTTGTGGAATAATCTGTCCACATGGAAAATTTCCTCCTGCCTCTTCTGAACTAATGCTTATGCTCTGAGCTCTATTTTACGTCTTGGTTGTTGAATTCACTTCAGGTAACAAGCCATGCTAACACGGAGGAAACTGACAACGAGGAAGAAGCTCGCTGTCTGTAACATGGCACACAAAGATGACTGCTATTTCATCTCAGACCTGGAAATCGGCTTCTTGCTCACTGACCCTCATGTGAGCTCCTCAGTCATGGATGAAGGGAGCTTGGAGCTCAGCCCATCGCCCAAATCTCGCAAGTCCTGCTGCTGAGCTTCAATTAGCATGGCCTCGCAGGGCCACTGACCTGCAATTTCTACTTCCCAGAACCCAGAAAGTTGTTGGGACATTGTGCCAAGGCTCTCCAGCTGCACAAAGACTTTTGTTCAACAGGATGGTGAAGCCCAAGTTCACGTGAGCATTCACCTCTGCACCTCCTCAAGGCCATAAGAGAATCTCAGCCCTAGTCATACAGTTCAGGAGACAGGCACATCATTAGAGTGCTAACAAATCAGAAGCTGATTGATGCCCACGTACCAGGGTGTGATCTGTTCCCACTAGAACTAACACGAGATGGGACTACAAGGAACGCTTGCCATGATGGGATTTTCAGTGTTATTTCACATCCTAAGGAAGCAGAAATCATTTTAACAAGAACTAAGGCTGAACTGATGGCTGAGTGCTCACCACACTGAGCTTCACTCTTAGCTCTGTTACTGATTTGCTATGGGGCTCTGGGTAAGACACTTAAGGTTAAATCTTAGCGATCCCCTGCCTGTTTGCACATCAATGAAATAATAAGGGAAGTAAAATGTCTCCCTGTTGCACACTATATTTTTAAGATTAATTTAAGACTTCAAATGAAGACAGCACTGGGAGAGCCTCATACTGAAAACACTCTCAGAAGTATTATCATAATTTAATATTCTTGGGTATTTATAGCCTCTATCATTACCATTCAGAGGTACCCAAATGCCTCACAAGCTTATTTCCACAACAACCCCAAGAATAGGGCGTGTACACTCACTTATTTGAGTGCAGAGGCTGAACTACCTGCCAAGATGTCAGAGCAGATCAGGCAACCAGTACTGACCCTCTTAAACTAATGATACAACCCGTTAGACACCCCTCATTTCCAGCAGCTCCTCCCCAAACTCAGCCCCGGGAGAAGGATAGCACTCTTCTAACTTCTTGGATCTGAGGTTCCAGGTCAGAAACAAGGTTTGTGAAAGATGTTCTCCAAATAGCTCTGGAAGGTTAGTTCTAGGTGAACAGGAACATCCCTGCTTTTATCTAACGAGATTTCCTGCTACTTGAGTTTCGATAAGGAGCCTGAGCACAAACTGCTATCTTGCTGCAATGTCAGATCTTTGGAAGTAGTAAGTCTTCACGCTGCTGCTATCCTGGTGATTTATTCGCTGCAGGTGCGTACACGCTGTATGACCCTACATATATGTAGGGTTATGTATACCTTGTATAACCCCAAGAACAGCCATACTGGTCAAAACCAGTATCTGGCTAACCCAATATACTGAGTCCTTGAAGCAGATGTCTAGGAAAGGTACAAACCCCAAGTCTGCACAGACAGATCCTGCCCTCCCGCTCTGTGAGGCAGTGGTTTTCCTGTATTTGTACGATAGTTACAGCGAGAAGCCCTGTAGTTTATTTCCACTCATATTCAGACTGCAAATGAGAGCACACTCTGGCCCTACCTGTTTGACTAGGCACTAACCAAAACGCTGAGTGAAGGCAATGCAACTGGAGGCTGTGGTTCTGGCCAGCACGCCAAGCCAGCAGCAGCTGGAAGTGTGCCCTACATAGGGCAAATGAAAAAATAGTGTGAGACCGAAGCCTGGCATCCCTGGAGCCAGAAGAGAGGAAAAGCAAACCAGAAGAGAGCAGATAGGGAATCAGCAGGGCAGAGTGATCTTCCTCCACAGAGGGTGCAATCCAAACCTGCTGAAGCTGGGTGAAGGTTTTAGATTCGACCGCAGTTGTGCTAATGGTGCCCTGCACTAAACAGTTGGGATGGAGCATCTCCTGAAAGGAATGGGGTTAATTTTCCATGCTGCTCAATCCCTGCTGCCTCTGCTGCCTACAGCAATGCCAATCAGCGTCGGGTGGTCTTGTGCTTTGGACAGCCACTCACCAGCAGCAGGAATCAGACCAACAGCTCATTTCATACAGGCCACTGAACAGGAGCCAGCGTGAGGCCTGGGATAGACTTTGTACTGACAGCACAATAGTGGAAAGCTAGATTACATCCCATTAGCGCTCCCTCGGGCCCTGCAGTCCCTCCAGGCTCAAAAATTTTAAAGCACTTAGCGCAGACCTGCCAAGTCTCATTTACATGGAGGGAGACTGGCTCGTTCATGAGTCATTTCAACGCATGGGGCCAAACTGATCCCCAGTGTTGTTCTGACAGGGTCAGAGGATGAAGAAAAATCCATCAGTGAAATGCAAGAGTAGATGGACACTAGGGATGAATTTATGCCTCTTGCTTGCAGTGATGGGGCTTTGCTGCAGGTGATTTTTTGAAACCCTTGGCCTATTTTCTACCGGTTCATTCATCCAAAAAGCCTTACGCTTGGAGGAACGTGCTGTTGGGAATTCCCACAAAAAGAGACTTCTCAAGGCTTCTAGGCCAAACATTTGATTGACTTGGTGCAGTCAACAGAGCGAAGACATGCCTTGAAGTCCTGCTGCATCTGTCTCCTGAAAAAAAGGGAAGCTGACAGGAGTTCTGCATGCTGACATGTTCACTTGGAAAGCTGGCGATCTTTTCAGTCTCCACGTTACGCTTTGATTGCAGGGAGAGAGAGACAGATCAGTGGGGAGCGAGACGCTGGGAACTCGGCGAGCTGGCAGGAGTTCAACGCAGAGTGAGGCCGCAAAGAAGGCTGGGACCTCACTTCCTTGCAAAAGGGTCAAAATCCAGGCAAAGCTGATTTTATTTCTTTTTAAAATCAAGTGAAGGGCTATTCCAGTGGAGTTGTGCAGAAGGTCCAGATCCAACTGGTGCCCAGTTATGTGAGGAGCATGGGGTTCAAGCTTGCTTTATCACTATGTCATATCTCCCGCCATCTTGTTTACACCACTGGAGTGAAGGCTCAGTTGCAGTGAGCTCCAGCAGGCTTTTTCTTCTAAGTTTGTTTTTATTTTTCTTTCTTTTGTCAAAACGATATGAAATGCCAAGTTTGAACATGAAAGGAGGGAGTATCTAAGTTTTGCTTTGAAGTTGGGGATTCAACTGAAGTGGGGACTCAGATTTAAGGGGATGCGAAACCATGCGACCTGAAACTCTTGAGAGCTGAAACGAAGACATTTCACATCACCCCACTGTGGAGTATGTTTTACTGGTTTTCAAAAGCAAAGCACACATGGGTACAGTGTCCTGAAGTGACCAGCAGGATGAATTGAACAGATCAATTAAAATTGATGGATCTATCAATCTTGACAGCATCACGTCAAAGATTAGGAAAACAGACTAAAATACCAGCTCCCTTAAGAGAAAGGGACAAAAATATTTGTATGCCTTAACTTCAAAGCCTCAGCGTGACTACCGGGATTATTGTGACAAAGCACACTGACATGGTCACAGACGTGACAGGCTGACAAATGAGGGCTGGTGGGTGGTGCTGTCTGTAGGAGTGTGAGAGAGGGGAGATCAGATTGAAACACAATCTGCCAACAACAAAAGAAGTCACTGAAGGGAAGTCCTGGGCATTTAAGAGACCCAGTTTCTTACCAAAGAAATGGGAGGAGGAGGGAATGTCCTTTTGTTAGTTGGTTGCTTGGACCTAAATACCTTGCAGCTAGATCAGCAAATCCATCTGGCTAAAAGTAAAACAAAATAAACTTCTGTTTGTTTGCTGAGTTGTTTTTGTTGAGAGCAAAACAGAGAGAGCTATGCTGGGACCATGGGGAGTGAGAAGGACTCACCCACCGCAACATGCACTTCCCACCTCCAACATGCTTACCTTGCTTTGCTTTCTGTCCAGGTAGAACTGATGTTGACTAATGGCCATAGCCCAGATAGACTTTATTAGTGCTGGACAGGCGTACCACGTATGCACAGCGATGCCACTATGCCCAAAAGTCCTCCTGGTCACAGATGCCCTGGAGAGGAGAAAAGAATGAACTGGGGTTACACCAAGGTTTCCTCACGTAGTTTTCTGTGGCAGAACCTATCACACACCTCATAGTAAAAGCTGCTGTCTTGACTGCGCACACCCTTGTGCTAATGGGAAAAAATGCTTAAGAGAACAGCAATAAATAGCTACTCAAGCCAGGAGAGCATTTACTTTAAATAACTCCTCAGTGAGCAAGCTCCAGAGGACTAACAGTAAAGACCATCCAGTTTGTCCAGTTCAAACTGTATTCCTGGGTTTGGCTGAGCTGATGCTGACCTGCTACGTGTCCCAGGGCAGTCACTAATGCCAAAGCATGTGTGAACCCTCTGTGTCTCATCACATGCTGAGACACCCGAGGCCAAGTCCTCACACCCTCCACCCACTACCTCTGGCTTTGGATGGTGGCTCTCAAATATTAGGACCCAGGTGACAGCTAAAGATCCACAGGATCAATGGCTGCTTTAGAGAATGTGGGAGAAACTCTTCCTCTTCTTGATTTCCTCACTTGTAAACAGATGCAGCAGGACTTACCACATGGTATAGGAAAGGGGAGCTGTGAGGTTTGGAGAGGGCTGCCTAGTGCCCTGGAGAGAAGAATGTTCCTCAGCGATTAGCTGAGTGAATATAAAACCAGGAAAAATAAGAGCTAAATGTTTCCTCTCTGGGACTCCCAATTGTCCTCAAATATTAGCAAAAAACACAGGTTAGGTTTCCCCATGCTTTCACAGCTGTACAAAACTGTTTGATTATTCCTCCCCACCCCTCAACTCTAACCCCACCAGCAGAGCCCCTGACACTGGCACACCAGCACACAGACGCTCACAGCATCCTGGTCTGCAGAACCCCTCCCGCTGCAGGGATGCAGCACTGGCTGGAGTAAACCAAGCCTCCGATCTACAGAGCCCCAAATAAATGAGGTCCTCCTTTCCCATCTGTTAACAACAGTCTTGTGGTGGAGTACAATTATGAAACGAACGTGAGCACTGGTACACAGGCTAGCTCAGAAACACAACACTTTTGTTACAGCCTTTCACGTAGCGACGTGGATGGTGAGGAGGGGCCAGTGCAAGAGGAGCAGGGTGTGCTACAGAGGGGCTGCCACAGCCCACAGCCAGCAGGCACTCCATGCGTTGCAGATGTGGAGGTGACACTGCAGGACAGCCCAGGAGTTCTACTGTGTAGTGCAAGGGATGGACCCCCCACAAGTCCTGAAGCCTGCTGAGGCTGTGGCTCCCCTTCTGCACCTGCACTGGCCACCTCTCCTCTGGTGCCTGTGGGCTACCACCCTGTCCAAAACTGGAGGTGAACGTTGGGAGGGGAGGCACATGGTCAAAGAAAGTTGTGATAGAGCCAAGAACGAAAGAAAAGCAAAACTCTGCAGTGAAATGGGAATTGCTGGCCAGGTTCAGCTTGGGAGACAGCTGACAGCTCTTGTGTCAGGGCCTTTTCAGTGCTGCAAAATGTTTTAAAGTCAAAATGCAAAGCTACAAATCGGAGTGAAATTTCTCTGAGAAAACAGCCGCAGCCAATGCAAACAAGGTCTGAGGCAACTGGGATCTCATGTTTCAGTGTTACCCTCTGCTAAGTCCTTTCCATGCGACTGGAGCAGAAGACCTTGTCCTGTTACGAGTATCGTTCTTGTGAGAAAACTCTCCCTGGATGCAACAGGACGGTGGCTGGTGGTCCTAATGAGGATGGGTGCTGGGCTGCCTCATCCCTGTCACTGGACAGGGAATGAAGGCTGTGCTGGGAGGTGCTCTTGAAGTTGAGGCTGGAGAGGGGATCCAACTCTGGACGCTTTATGTTGGTTTAAGGGACACAAACCACCGGAGCACATTGGCACATAAGGCTCTAAGGCACTCAAACATGGGCTAAAGCCTTAATTCTGGTTTCATCCTATTCAGTTCAAACGCAGTTACTTGTTTTGAACTCTCAGAAACATACTCTGCAAGCCATTCATCTTCTCATCTTAAAAGCAGTGATTTCCAATTTTTTTTCTTTTTGGGATTTGTACATGTTTCCCATCAAAACTGCAGACCCCATTAGAAAGTCTGCAGACTCAGCTAGTCAGAGCTGTGGATTTGCTTTTCACAGCTGTCTTTTGGGGACCTGTGAAAGATACCCATGGGTGTTTTTTCTACGACTTTTCTCCACGCATGCCACATGCGCTATGGAATTAACCCTGTCGATACCCCCTAAAACATATCGTTTCCCTCCTTTATGGGATAAGTAGCCACGATGAAGAGAGGTTAAATGGCTTCTTCGGGACAGGAAGCCACGGGCAGAGACCAGGCTTAAAAACATACATTGTGCTGCCCAGCCCTGGCCACAACCAGGGAGCCGTGCTTGATCTCCTGCGAGTGTGGCTTTGCTGACTCAGGCTCTGGTTTGGCTACACAGAGAGGAATGCAGAGAGAGCACCGTGTTGGCTACTCCTCCGCCTCCACACACGGAACAACTCCTCGCAGGAGTCCATCCCACTTGGCTGGGAGGCTACAACCCGAGCCGTGTTCCCAACCACGCCACTGCAACATGCCTTGCTGCTTTACAGCCAGCATACCATTTTGACCTGGATGCTGGTACTCTCTGGATATGAAAATCAACCAGCTGAATTCCCTTGTAGTGAGAAAGTACCAGGCTGACAGCCTGGGACAGGGTTTTGTCCTCCTGGTGTTGATTCAGAGAAACAGCGCAATGGAACAAAAAACGGAAGCTCTTCTGTGTCAGTAATTCCTATCATCTAAATACAAATGAGACAGAAGAGGTTCCTCTGTGTGGTTACATTTCATGCACAACATTAAGTAGCAAATATCATCATGATTTTAACGTCCCAGAGCTATTTGCTTTCTTTTCCTTGCAATCGCTGCTTACAGGAAACGGCCAGCCTGGGCATTTAGGGGCTTCTTGCTGCTGGTTGCTTGCAGCACGCGTTTCTGACGCCTCATACCCTGCTGGAGGCTCGGTGAGGGAAGGAGTACACCACCCCCAGCTCCCGCTGCTGGAAGATGTCCCAGCGTATTCTCAACTTTGGGAATTTGGTTTGCCAGATTTCATGCGACTATTTACATGCTTAATATTAAGCAGATGCTTCAAGGCTCTGCTGACCTGGAGCTGCAGAATGGTATGAGCTGCTCTACTCAGTTTTTAACAAAATGCACCTATGGAGACAGGCACCGTTGTATTGGTGTGACCATGTTCGTATCAGGGCAAATAAGCACAGAAACTGCATGCAAAATTCCCCTAATAAAAATACATATATTAGTACACAGATAGGCACGGGAAACAGGTGAAACAGGATCACAGCTGAGCGATCAGCAAAACACGCTACTACCAGCAGCACGTCAAATCAGTCTAGGAAGAGAGCTGGCTTCCATCAGCCGTATTCATACTTAATTTGCAAGTGGGACACTGCTTTTAGCGAGAACAAGTTACAGAGCAATATACACACTGGTCACTGTCTGCAGTAACCATCCACTAATGCAAAGGAGCAAGGGGTGCAGAACGCATGGATTAGATGCAGCACAGTCACTTGAACTCACTCTCTCACACGTTAGGTCTCTAAAGTAAGAAAAAAAAGACTCCTGTGCCAAAAAGACTGATGGGCTTTCATCCAGACTGCCGGTAAACCTCTGGTACCGTGCCATTCCTTTCAGTTGCACTACTGAATATTTATTTACAAGGAAGCATGTGAGTACAAAATCTGGCGCCCATCTCCAGGCTCCAAGTGCAACACGGGGACAAGGCAACCCCCCTTCCACGCACGGGGGTTGCCGGCACCGCAGCTGGGGCACCGGAGCTGCACAGCCCCGGGGGTCAGAAGGTGGCAAAACAGAGGGAAGGAAAAAAAAATACCGCTAGGAGCCGAGGGGAAAGACATCCTCAAAAACACCCACCCGAACCCAAAATATCCCGCTGGAAGGAAGCAGCAGCCCCCGGCTCGGTACCCGCTGCCCCTTGCTTATGGGCTTCCCAGCTACCAAGCGCAGCAAGCCCCGCACGGCGGCGGGG